AAGCCACGACGAATGGTGGTCGAGGCTGCGCCTAGCCATGACGGCAGCCAGACCTTTGCAGCGTGGTACGGTTCCGATCCCCGTCCTCTCTTTGCCCTGCGCATTTACGATACGACGCCTGAAGCTGCCAGCGCAGACCACCTCCGCCACGTGGCGAAAGTCATTTATGAGAATACGTGGAAACATCGCGCTAGTGTAGGCCGAGGGGAACCGGACCGCATTGAGGTCGTCGGCATGCCCATGGCGGCAGCCACCGATGAGGAGCGCGCCCGCAGGTGCCGGAAGCACCATGAAGCCGAAGTTGCCTCGAGGATCAGGGCTGCCTCGAGAGAGTGGTATATACCCACGACCAGGACCGAGAGTAGTTACTGGTCTCATATCAAGGTGCTCACGCGCTTGGATCAAGGTGTATGCTTCTTCGTTATTCTCCGTCTTATCGCATTGACCTCTGATACTAATGTTTATCTCAGTGGGAGGAAGCACTTCTTGATATATCTGGAACAAAGAGATTCCGACCGGAGAGCCCATCAGAGGTTGAAACAGACCCATTTGGTACATATCTCTCAGTCTCCTGGGACCTCGTTGGGGACGACCAGGGCGAGTTTGAGGGAGACGAGAGCGATGAGCCCCTCCCGGAAATGTCTGTCAGCTTGGGCAGGATAGAACACTTGGATTCGAGCTTAACGTGGCTGCGACATCATATCGAATGGTTTTATATCGAATACGTTCCGTACGGGGGTCTCGATCAAGAGCTCGGTCTATAAATTAGCCTTCTATAGTGCGGAGTGAGCAGTCAGTGACTGCAGTATACAACCTCTTTAGACGACATCAGACATGTACGACCATAGACACCAAAGAGCTCAGCATCCCATACGCGCTGCCCTAGATAGACTGGTGATCGATAACAGTCCTGTTGACCGACCAATACATCTCAAATTACGGACTCATCTACCGCCCGCCATTACCTCGATCTTTTGTGTACCGCTTTGCGCTGCTATTTCAGCTGAGCCACCTCATCTTTCGTGGCATCATTGCCGGTCTATACTAGCGAAAGCCCAAAACATCCAAGAGCAACTCTTAAGTATTTCAGTGCCCCGGTGCAACAAATTTGGTAATAAATGGCCTAAGTGGGAATGTTTGTTGCTGTAATGGCAGCAAAACCTGATAGCCGGGGCCACTATTTACCGTTCGTCCAAAACTGGCAATGGTCAAATACCGGGACAACGAATGCATGGCATCCATGAAAGACTGTCTCCCATCCACCTTGATTGTTCCCTTTCTGCGATTGCGATAAGCCAGCATTGGTATGCTCCAGCCAATCAGACTAAAGTTTGGGTGACTGTACTCACTGTCAGTTGAGTCGACCTATGAGGAGTTGCGATGGGTTACCACGTTGCTGGGCGAGAGAGAGGCGACGGCTTTCATGCCAGAGGGTTTGATCATTGTGTGCATTTTGCATCCAATCACCCCAACCCCTCTATTCCTTGAATCACCGAACACGTCAGGGCACCAACTGTCGTCAAACACCGCCAATTTGCAAAATAAAAGTTCAGAGCCGCACAGAACCTTTTAAAGATGGAACCCAAGCACCACGTCCACAGACAGGACGGTATTTGAATACCCTTTCTACAATCAGCAACATCACGACACTTCAGAACGATAACATGACTGACTAAAACGATCAGACCGTCGACGACGGCACACGATTCAGCAACAGTGCGCCGCTGAACCCGGACCGCCGCCCCCAGAGACTCTATCAGAACATAAAGGTTGCCATAGACATGGTCGACGAACGAATCCAGAACGAGAAGTTCACTGCGATTGGCCTATGGGTCGGCCAGGAGGATCTCTACAAGTTCCGAGATACCGTTCGCGGATACATCCGCGCAGAGCTGTGAGTACACCCACTCCATGGTATTGTGTCATTTTACCAACTTTTGTCTGCTGTTAGGGATGCGACTCTCGATTCCTGGCCCCTGCGAGCAGTTCAAGATTACCGACCCGAGGTTCGCCGAGCCATTCTGAAGGCTATGGAGAATCATTGGGAGATGGTCAACATCGAGAACCATAATGACGATACTGAGCTGTCGGCGAATGACGACTTTGTGCGGGGAGAGCTCATACACGACGCATTCTGTAACGAGCAGAGGACTCAAGAGCTTTGATCCACCAGAGACAGAAACCAAAGACATGAACTGGAAACCTTACCTCGCCCTCGCCGACGCCAACTGACACAACAATGCCCTGGCCAAAGGGAAAGCTGCGGCCTTTTGGCCGTCATACCCTCGGAGATGGGACCCGATCCACTCGAGGATCCCGCGCCCGGGCTTGCTTGTACATCCTTTCTGGCAGGGGAACTTGACCACAATGGTCACCTGTATCCAGTACGCGGTAATCTGCCGAACCAATGACCAACGCCAGCAAGTATGGCCGCGCCAGATACCTACTGCCTCAACGTCATGGCACGCATTGCAACATCTTACAATCATGACAGCCGCCAAGCAATGAATGCTTTGGGAAAACGATTCAGCATGTCTCAGAGTACAAGGAAAAGAAAGACATTTCTTCTACGTTGCTGAACCAACAGCCAGTGACTACATTATCCTCCCCTTTCAGACGTCATCATAACACATACGACCACAGATATTAGAGAACCCCACATCTTGTCCGCTTTGCGCTGCTATTCCGTTGAGCCAGCTCATGTTTTGCAACATCATCAACAGTTCATGATACTGAAAACACATAACATCCAATAGCCACTCGTAACTATGCCAATGCCACCATACAACAAAGCCGGCAATGAAGGACCTAGATCGGGATGACCGGAGCAGCATAAAGGTTTACCCAACTGGCATTCCAGTCCACGCCAGGGCATACTATTAGCTCCCCAGTCTTGGGATTGTCGGGAGTGCAAAACCACATGAGGTCGCCATCGACACCAGACCTGAACTGGTATGACCACGAGTCGATGGCACATGTGCACTCGTGAGCACCGACGGGCGCGTCGTCAGGCCTGCCGAATACCAGATCACCGTGCTCGCCGCTGGCGTATGCAATGTAGCCGGTGGTCGGAAGACCAGGATTGATCAGCACGAGATTTCCCCGCTCGTTCAAGGTAAAAGTCAGAGGCTGCTGGCTTCCCAGGGGGAATATATTGGCGAAAGCAATGTCCGGGTTGGTTCCCGTCGGTTCTATCGAGGAGAACCCGAGCGCTTCAAGCCCTCCTGCATTATAGACAGCAAAGGTTGGCTGCGCGAGATGTCGAGTCGTTGTGCTGCTTCTAATGGCAGCCGGGGGTTCGCGCGTTATGGCAGATGTGGTTTCTGCCGAGTTCGATGGGCTGTAGGGATGCGCATACCAGAGGCGACAGGAGAAGTCCGAGTCTTCGATCAACCACGAGTTGCAATTCTCAATCGTCCCTCCACACTGGCAACTTAATTGCCAAGTAGCAGAGTCAATGTCACAGGTGCAGAGATCCAACTGCCGAGCAGCGTTGCTGTCTGGCTCCAGAAAGAGGAACCAATATCCATCGGTGTACGCAGCACGACCGGTCAAGGAGGCGTCCGGGCCAACGTAGATCAAATTGCCCTTCTCGCTCAACGTGAACAAATTGACAGGTAATCCGCCCAGGAACCCGTCGGGTGGCATGGGTGTCCAGAAAGTGGTATATCCAGACTGGTTCGACCCAAGGATATTCCACAGTTGGATCTCACTTTCTTCTTGTGCATCCAGAATGTAAAAATTGGTTTGCGAGAAATCAGGGATTGTGGAGCTTGTGGCCGTGGCTGTGTTTGCCAAAGTGACGGTATTTGTGTTGAAATGGTAGGGCTCGCCGAAGTCGAGGGACTAGATGGCGCGTTCGTGGCTATGACTGAATGTTTGTTGCTGTAAATATGCTTCGAAATATGATAGCCAGGGCCTTGATCATGATGGACTTTGTGTCGCTTTGCAAGAGCGTGACCAGCAAGCAGGCCGAGAGTGATCGTGAAAGGCAGCATGACGACGTCTTGCACGCATAGTCCATCAAAAATAGTTATAAAACAAGACAACTTGTGCCTATCAAGCGCAGTTGTGCTACTGGCTGTCTTCGCCTTCAATAGAGAAACCTGATGTCAGCTATTCTCATTTTCAGCTACTGATTCTGTAAGATCAAGGGGCATTTGTCTATCTATGATGCATTCCGCCCTGGCTCCTTCATCAAACCTTCATAGGGAGAATAGAATGGCTGCCCAGCCGCCCCAGTCACCCGCGGGACAGGGGAAATCCCGAAACTCAATTTCCTGACTGTATCAGAAACGTAGAGTGACCGGAAGCGTCTACGAAGGACCTTATCACTCAAGCGCAAAAATCGCTTTGTCCATTTACACCGTTTCGTGTGATGTCCCCCTCCTCAACAGTTGGCTTTGTTATCGAACGCTGAACGGCTTCCGTTTTTCCGTCGAAAAACGGAGTATTCTCCTTTACGATTGACGCTTTACTTTCGGAAAACATTGAAGAGTTGCACGTACTATCTGAGCCACCGGGGATGTCCATATATTTCTACTTATTCTTTCTTTTTTTCTTTTTCGTTTTTGCACGTTTTGCCTCTGACATAGGTGTTCAAAGCAACGCAACTATTAATCTGATCGAGAGTTTATCCTATAGCACACAATGTTATATACGTGCCTGACCAGTGCGCAAATACCTCCTGGTTCGTGATCGTTTCCCATTGATGTTAGGCATGCTCTTTGCTCTGCTCGTGGCATGGACTGTATCCAGGATCGCTTGCATCGAGTCATCGCCCAAATGCTTCGGCACGGGCAACTCAGTCGAGACGACCGACTCAGTGCCGTGCAGAGATATGGCAGAAGCTTGGCCCAGTCGATTGCAAGTTCTACTCCACCGACCGGCTCTGTGTCTGCGGCGGTCAAGCTTAGATGGAGCGCTGCTTGGCCTGGAAAGACCTCGATAAGCAGAGGTGGGGAAAAAAACAATGTACAGCAAACCAAAAAGGGAAGGGTTCCCAGCTCCAGGAATCGAACTCGGGTCTTCCGCCCCTGACCGAGAGCACCCCGTATGTGCGGTACCTCCAAGCCAGGTAACAGATGTGCTACCACTACACCAAGCTGGGCTTCGCTGTTGAAATTCAGGTCTCTACTTGACTTGATGTGTCTGGACTGGCAGGTGGTGACTGGCCTAGATGTACCTTTGAGAAACAGGAAGGAACGTCCAGAGTTCGCCAGCGTGACTTGGCCATGGATCACGAAGACGGTTATGAGTGGCAGGAACCAGTGGCACGGTCCACTTGGATAATCTTGTGAATGCAAATAAAACATTCTTCTTCAATTGCCACGAGCCGCCTCAATGGTTCCTCACTGCTTACGCCTCATTGGATTTGTTGCTCGCAAGGTTGTCGCGAAAGGTAGAGTCGAGCTTTGACCCCAGGAAACCTTGAGGCGCCAACGAATTTCAGGAAATGGGAATTGGTAAATTGACTGCTGCGAATGGCTAGCCGGCTCCATTGGTCATGTCTAGCACATTGTGCGTGGCGCTGTCAGCTCGTGACATATTTGTAGAGTGTTCATAACCCATAATCTATTCACTATCAAGTCAAGCAGAAGAAATATCTAGCTGACTCTTAAGATCACAAAGCTTCACGTCCGGATCCTTCTGAATCAAGTGAAACACGGCCTGGAAGCCTTCCAGGAACTGATCCCAGTCATATACGCCTTTCATGGTGCTTTCGCTGAGGCGGAGAGAAATAGTCGCCGATCCAGGGGACAAGGAGCACTGCATCAGGCAATTCAGGGCACATATCGGGCCGTAGTACTGCATCTCCCGTTCCCGAAACATGACCGGATACGCTGTATCTAGGTCCGGTTGCACGGCAAGTAGAGTACCGTATTGACATGCTGCTTTGCACTCGGGGCTCAACTGTTCGATGGTTCGGTCCTCGATCCCTTCATGTGTCATCGTGGATAGAAGGCTGTCTTGATCCACCTCCAGGTTGAACCTCAGCGACCTGTTAGGGTCCAATAGAATCCGATCAGGGAGCATCGCAGTAGTAGGGACCGCCGCGTCGATGATGTCTGCAACCGGCGCTGAGCGCCGCGCGAAGACGCCCCAGAACACCACGTCGTTGGTGCCAGAGTACCAGGACGCCATGATCGCCCAGGCCAAGCGGATCTTGTTCGTTGCAGTGAAGCCATTGTTGACGATCTCAAGCTTTCCAGTCAGTTCGCGGCTCTCGATGGGCTCGAGTGATGCATCCAACACCGGCGGGAAAATCCGACCGTCGAAACCTGCAAACTTGTCTACCCAAAACTCGTGCTTGGAGGCATTTGGCTCTGCTGACCACTGGACGAATGGCGAAAAGTGCGTCAAAGGCAGCTTTTGGCCCTGGTATGCGCGGGAGATGTCTCGGAAGATGAGAGGCAATGACTGGCCATCATAAATCGCATGATGGATCAGCATGACGAATTGATTTCCATGCATCCCAACCCTCACAAGACGTTTTCCCAACCTCCATACATCCACGGAGGGCTCGTACTGTGCCTTGTTTGGACCGTGAAGGGCTTCCAAGGGGATTGTCTCTCTGACCACTGCTTGGATATAGTGGTCCTTCGTCAGCTCAACGATGCGCGTACGCAGTATAGGATTAGCTGCGACGACTTTTCCCCATGCAAAGGCCAGCTGATTTTGATCAACATCAGCTGGCAGTTTGAAATCCAGTCGCAACGTGTAGTTGTATCCCAACTGTATGGGTACGGTGGCTGCATCAAGCTGGAGCGAGGTGACTGGGAAAGCATCCTCAATTGAATCTGGAGACACTTGGCATTGATCCGCAATAGCACATAGAAGCTGGTCGCCTTTCAGATCGTGACTACCCAAAAGACTAAATGGGTCGGGAATCTTCGTTATCAACGAGCCATTGGATTTGAAGTGCTGGCATAGGACGGAAATGGTTTTGTGGCGCAATATGTCAGGAACCGTCAGGAATAGCTGTTCTCGACGTGCAAGTGAGACCAGTTGCATAGCCCCAAGAGAATCGCCGCCCAGAGAGGTCCACTCATCATTCCTACCGACTTCCTGTAGGTCCAGTTCGAGCACATTTGCCCAGAGCCTTTGCATTTGTATTTCCGATGCCGTCAGTGGCATTCGCTTTGCCGTGTCCTCTTGACCGAGATAGCTCAGTAACTGGGTACGTGAAAGCTGCGCGACTCGCTCTCGCAAGTGTCTGCGATCCGATTTTCCTGTCACGGTTGAAGGAATGTGGTTGATGGTGAGAAACAATTCGGGAACCATATAATTGGGTAATCTCGTACGCAGTAGAATTTTGGCTGTGCTCATTCGATCCCGGAAAGCCGCGTCCGGTACCAAGAAGAGATGGGTAGAGGGGCAAGGGCTCTTGTCTGCGACAATGAAGGCTACCAGTGAGCTGGATCGTGATCCAGATGTGATCGCGTCGACCAAGACCTCGTGGGAGCCTCCCAGCACTGCCCGCATGTGGTGCTCTATTTCTTGGAGCTCAATTCGCTGGCCGTTGATCTTAACCTGCATGTCCTTGCGACCGATAAAAACAAGGGAGCCATCAGGAAGGCGACGGACTAGATCGCCCGTCTTGTATACCTTCTCCCCCACTGATGACTTGCGAGGAAGCCACACAGGGTTTGAAATGTATGCCTTGGCTGTTTGTCCCGGATCGTTAAGGTATCCTTCGCTCAGGCTGGGGCCCTGGATCACAAGCTCCCCGCTCGCGCCATCTTGGATGAGAACATCGTGGTTGTCTTCGTCCACCACCCAGCAAGTGACAGCATGAGGGAAACCGATATTTGCTGAGGATTCTACGTTCCTGAAGTCGACTTGGATAGTGGTGCATCCCGCACACTCGGCTGGACCGTAAATCCCGGTGACTTGGACGTGTGGTAGCCACATGTCGAGATCGGTCTGAGTGATGGGCTCCCCTCCCAGACCAAGATCTTTCAGACTGGGTAGTCTGGTTGGATCAAGTATGCGAGCCACCGAAGGAGTCAGGAAAACCCAGTTGACACGCAATTTCTCGATTGTCTCGGCGAGGTTGTTCTCGCGTTCGAATTCCGACGGGATGCAGAGGCAACCTCCAACAAGGAGCGCCCAAAAATGCTCCAAGAAGCTGACGTCGAATGCAAAGGATGCGAATTGCAGAACCCGGGAAGTTCGACTCAAATGTATCGCATCCCTATTGTACAGTATTCCGGCAACCAATGCTTTGTGAGAAACAAGAATCCCTTTAGGCTTGCCGGTAGATCCAGACGTGAAAGCGACATAGGCTGCTGCATAAGGAGCTGCAGCCGCCAATTTCAGCTGTGGTGACGAAGTCTCGAGGAGCTCTTCGCCCACGGTCAGGACTACCAGATTCTCACCAAGCTTCGCCACCAGCTCCAGCTGAGACTCTGAGCACATAATCATCTTTGCGTTCAACTGACGGCACATGTGTTGCAACCGAGCCAACGGGTACTTGGGCTCTAGGAAGCAGAAGGCGCCGCCGGCTTTCGAAACTGCCAGCATAGCTACTGCGGTCCACTGCGATTGATTCAAACAGAGCGGCACGAAAACACCTGCTCCGACTCCGTTTTGCACCAGTACCCTGGCTAAAGTCGAGGATTTGTCGTCCAGTTCTTTATATGTCAAATGTCCGTCCCACGCGCAAATAGCAGGAGCATCAGGCTGCTCTTGAACGCGCTGCTGAAAAATATCTTGGATGCAGAGGCTGATCTCTTCAATGGCGACAGTGCCTTCACCTGAGCTTGCCATTGTGTATACTGGTCTTCCTCTGGCTAGTGGTGTTGTAGTGGTCCGTAACATGGATAAGGAACAAGTAAAGATAAATTGATTGACTTTTAGTCGTTCTGATTGTTTCTGGCTGGCATATGAAAGTTTATTCAGTGTATTGAAGACTACGGCTGTCGTTCGTTCAAAGTCAACTTGATCACGATTGCGTTACATTGAGCCGTACCCGGCGTCTTCGGCATGCATGCGGTGACCCGGCACAACTGTCCGTTGATTTAACTTTCAAAGCATGGCCATTATCGTGAAGGCCGGGAGCCACTTCGATAGCTGCGACTGTTCGGCTGAATGTGTTGAACCAGCCGAGGCGTCAGACGTCACCTCAACGTTCGCGCCTCAGCGGCCTGGCGGATCCTCTGTTACACTTCTGCCGTTAACTACCTACATTGTAGTCTGACTGGGTACGAGTATATCATGCAGAGCTAGGAACTGACCGTATGGGGCTTCGGGCTCGCTAAAGGATAAATGGGGGGCGCTACGATGCGCCAGCCGATGAGTATTGCCGATCTGCAGGCATAAGAGCCCTGTCTTATTGGTTGTATGGCGGATAACCCCACGCACCATCGAAGGCAATATCGCGACCCGGCCAGTTGGGTATACCATATAGGCGCTAGAGTATACACATTGCAATTTCGATCGAAGCTGAAGGGAGATCGTCACCGCTAGGAGGGCAGAAAAGAACGCGTTGGTCCAAGTCATGGCAGTTACTGGGCAGTGGATGTAAGCCATGCTGAAAGAGTGCGATACCTCCGGTCGGAGATAGTCTAGCTGGGCCGCCGGGTGGGAATGCACATCCATTATTGACGCTACCGGACGCCAATACAGACCACACTGCGCCTACAGTAGTATATAGTATTCACCTTGCTGTGGCATCAGGGGAGAACGATTATGGGCCGCATACCACGGTACTTGGCTAGGTATGTTTCAGAGATTTCGAATTTTTCACTATTTCGTATCTTACAAGCGTAGTAAGTCATGCAAGAAAACAGGAAAGTGGAGTCGATGCTTTTATTTTCTTGGTGAGCGCTAGGCCAAGCATATTGAAGGGATGTCAATTTGAACGCGTTAGCAAAGTTGTCCGACCGGCGTCCTCGCCTTCCACTATGCCCTCTCCACCAGTAGCTCCTCCACGTGCGGATTCAGCCAGTACCGGCTCAAGACGGTCGAATGTAGATCTCGGCTGCCTGCGATGAGACCCAGACATTCCTGAGATCCGCAGGTGCATTGGAACGGCTGAACCATGTCCCACTCCGTGCTTGGGTAGAAGAACGTCAGTTCGTCTCCCGCGGAGAGGGGCCGGTCGCG